AACAACAACAACAACAACAACAACAACAACAACAACCACAACAACAACAATCAGTTTACCCTCATGCGCGATGTTCCCACACGAAGCATGCAACCATCATGATAACCATCCACATCATGGGGGACTTGTTCTATACCGGGGTCCGCTATTCCCATTCTCAGATCTCCCGCCCAATGAGGTCCTGCGAACAACTACTCCGAGGAATTTCGACATATCCCGCCTCGAAAACGCATGCCCGCGCCTTGCTGCGCCGATGCGAGACCGCCAGGGGACCCCCAGCGAAGGGTAAAGCACAAGGAAGTATCGAACGACAGGATGGCCTTGGTGGGGATGGGGGGTGTCGGCGGTGAGGCAAGGACCTGGCCCTGAATAGAAAGGGAGGAAGTCTCGAACAGGGCTGCTGTTGTTGCTGAAAGCGGCGCCAATGCTGAAGAGAGTAGGGCGCTAGTCGAGCGTAAAACAAAACGAAGTCTCGAGCGGGAGCGCTGGTTTTGGTGGGACGGCGGCTTTCGGCGGCGAGGAGGAACACCGCCTTGAGTAAGAAGGGAGGAAGTCGGGACGGTGGCTGTCGGCGGCGAGGAACAGCACCGTCCCGAGGAAAAAGAAAGGAAATCTCGAGCGGGAGCGTTGTTCTTGCTGGGAGCGGCGCCAATTCAAAAAAGAGCAAGGCACCAGTCCAGCGTTAAACGGAAGGACGTCTCGGGCGGGAGCGCTGGTTATGTCGGGGCGGCGGTTTCGGCGGCGAGGAGGAACACCGCCTTGAGTAAGAAGGGAGGAAGCATCGAGCGGGAGCCGTGGTTTTGTCGGAACGGGGGTTGTCGGCGGCGAGGAACAGCACCGTCTTCAGGAAAAAGGGCGGAAGCCTCGAGCGGGAGCGTTGTTCTTGCTGGGAGCGGCGCCGATTCAAAAGAGAGCAAGGCGCCAATCCAGCGTAAAACGGAAGGGCGTCTCGGGCGGAAGCGCTAGTTTTGTCGGGGCGGCGGTTTTCGGCGGCGAGGAGGAGCACCGCCTTGAGTAAAAAGGGAGGAAGCCTTGAGCAGGAGCGTTGTTTTTGCTGGGGGCGGCGCCGATGAGAGAAAGACTAACGCGCCAGTCCAATGTAAAACGGGAGGAAGTCTCGAGCGGGAGCGCTGGTTTGTTAGGACGGCGGCTTTCGGCGGCGAGCAAGGAAACCAGCCCTGAGTAAAGAAGGAGGAGGCCTCGAGCGGGAGCGTTGTTGTTGTTCCAAGATAGCCAAACTGAGTCAAGTTCTCGAATATTCCTCCTGTTGAGGGACATGCCCGACTCGAGACTGATAATGATTGGAGGCCTGGAGATGGGCACCAACACCAACACCGGGGGCTGCCTCCACAGGGGGGACGATGATCCTAGATGCCGGTGCTGGTGAAAAAATACTTCGGCCTCCTTGGAAGCCAGAATATATGACCACCAGCACCGAGATCGGGATCGTCGTCCCTCGGTGGAGGCACACCGCCGATCTCGGTTGGTGCTGGTGTCAACCTCGAGGCCTGCGAAAGTACAGTCAACACGCGCGCGCGCCTCGCAGTGGACCCACGCGAGCGGGGGGGTCCCGCACTCCGACCTCCTCTTGTGCCGCCCCGGGGGTGCGCCCAAACAGCCGGGCGCCGCGGACCTCCCCCGCCCAAGACGCCCCCCGCGAGCCCCCAGGAAACGCCCCCCGAGCGGACCCAGGACAGGAGCGAGGAAAAGCGGCACCACCGCCACGACCGCCGTATACGGGGCCACATGCGAACCCTGCCCCACCCTCCCCCTCAGAGATCGTGGGGGGCGGGGGTAGGGCTCGCAGGTGGCCCCCTACACCAGGGACCACCAGCGGGAGGAGCTTGGGGGGGTCCCTGGAGGGGGTCCCCTGGTGATGGTGGTGTCGCGTCTCCCTTCCCCGGCCAGGCGTGGCTGTGCAGCAGGGCCTTCTGCCAGTCGACTTCCTGGCCCGAACTCCGACTTCTCTGGCGACAGTCTGGGACGCTTCGGGCACCGCCGGGAGAGCGCTCTCTCGCCGGCGAGGCGCCGCCGCCGAGCAGCACCCCCCAGGGCGAAGAAACACCTCCGAGAGCGAGCGAAACCTCTCCGAAAACGCCCACGGCCAGCTTTGGGGGGGTATATGTACCCAGACCCCCGACGTCATGACTCTTTTCGGCGACTCCGAAGGGTGTGGTTTGCAAAGGGTGTGGTTTGCGAAGGGCACCCTGGGGAGCACCCTGGGGGGCGGGCGGGGACCTCGATAGTGTTCTCCGCTGCGCTCCGAGGCGGCCCGACGAGGACAGTGTTGTGCCCCCAATGCCCCAACGGCGCCGATCGCAAACCACACCCCGGCGTAACCACACCCCTTGTAGTCGCCGATCTTTCACGACGTGGGCCCCTGGACGTCTAGGCCGCTTCACCGGGACCGGGCTCTTCCTCCCGAGCCGTTGTGTTCGGCGGGCCCTTTGGCCCGACGAGAGCACCCGGAGGCCGAGAGCGAGCACGTCTCCAGACCTCCCAGGTGGGGTCGGAGGAGGAGGAGGAGGAGAAATAATAATAATAATAACAATAATAATAATAACAATAATAATAATAACAATAATAACAATAACATTAATAACAATAATAATAAGAAGAAGAATAATAATAATGGGGTTGGAGGATCGCGCCGCATCGCTGATGCATCGACGATGCGGCTCGATGTGCAGCCCGATGTGCTTCGCGTCGACGTCGCCGATGCATCGCCGACGTCGGCGATGCATCGCTGGTGCATGGACGATGCATCAACGATGCGGAGCGATCCTCCGACCCCATCTACTCCGACCCCATCTACTGCGACCCCGTCTAGGAGGCCTCCAAGCATAAATCGTTGGAGTGTCGCGCTGATTCTCGGATCGGCGCTGGACCCCTTGGCGGCGCCTCTGGCGCCGCCCCCCCCGACGCGCTCTTCGCGCGCCAGGGCGGGAGGTCCGGCGCCGATCCAAGAATGCCGCGCGCACCTCCGAAAACCTATGTATGATTTCTTCCCCGAAGGTCTGGGTACGCAAGGTTCTTAGGAGAAACATGAAACAAGATTCAAAAACAGTGAGAAATAGTCAAACAATCGTTCCCTGACTGCTCTTTTTACTGTTCTTGAACACTCCTCCTGGATAGGCACAGGCCGACTTGAACGTAAGGTTAAGTCGGGCCTGTCCCCCTACAGGGGGATTTTCGACGAAAAATTAAAAATACCCCCAAAATGCTATTAAAACAAAAAATCAAAAACAAGTCTGGGGACTATTTTTTGAATATTTGTTGGCCCTCTTGGGGTGTTTTGGGGGTATGTTTTATTTTCGTCGAAAATCCCCCTGTAGGGGACACGCCCGACAGAAGCACAGGCCCGACTTGAAGCCTCCCGAGGCCCGGGAAGGGCCCCAGGAGGCCGAAAATAGTGAAAAACTTCCCGTCGTGACTTTTTCGCAGCGCGAGGGGGTCTGGGTCCGCCGACTTGAACGTGAGGTGCCGACTTTTTCGAAGGCACAGGCCCGACTTTTTCGAAGGCACGGCTCAGAACCAACCCTTACAACAGAAGCGGGGGCAACGGGGAGCGGACAGCTTAGTGGAGGAGGAGGATGAGGAGGAGGAGGAGGAGACGGAGGAGGAGGAAGAGGAGGGAGGAGAGGAGGAGAGGAGGACGAGGAGAGACGAGGAGGGGAGGAGGAGGGAGGATGAGGAGGACGAGGAGAGAGAGGAGGACGAGGAGGAGGGGAGGAGGAGGACGAGGGGAGAGGAAGCAGGAGGACGAGGAGGAGGAGGAGGAGGAGGAAGACTTAGGTGCCCACTGCGGGTCGCCGCCGCCCCCTCGGGCGCCCGCGAGCTCCAGGAGGCACGTGCCGAGCGCCAGCGCCGCCAGCCCCCGCACGTGCACCGCGGCGGCGGCGTCCGCGACGGGCGCCTCGTCGCGTGCAGGGCTCCTCCTCCTCCTCCTCCTCCTCCTCCTCCCTCCTCCTCCTCCTCCCTCCTCCTCCTCCTGTTCCTGCTCCTCCCTCCGCCTTTTCCTCCTCCTCCTCCCCTATTTTTTTTTGCGTTGGGCAAACCTGAATCCTACGATTGTGACCTCTTATTCTTCCTCCTCCTCCTCCTCCTCCTCCTCCTCCTCCTCCTCCTCCACCCCTATTATTTTTGTTGCGTTGGGCAAACCTGAATCCTACGATTGTGACGTTCTTTTTCTTCCTTCCTCCTCTCCTCCTCCTCCTCCTCTCCTCCTCCTCCTCCTCCCTCCTCCTCCCCCTCCTCCTCTTCCCCCTCCCTCCTCCCCGGTTCCTCTTCGGCGGCGAAAGGGAGATGTCGCGGACCCAGACCCCCTCGCGTCGCGAAAAAAAAAACACGACGGGAATTTCCGCCATTGTCGGCCTCCTGGGGCCCTTCCCGGGCCTCGGGACCGTCCAAACACGACGCACGAGGCAGAACCGGTCCCCAAGAAGGGGTCCAGGTTTCTGAGGGGCACGTTGTGGAAAATCACGACGTCGGGGGTCTGGGGAAGGGAGGATGTCGCGGGCGGCTTGGCAAGGCGCTGGTGGATCGGATCGCAAGGGGGGATGGGTTTCCTGGTAACCTTGAGGTCTGGGCCGTGCATTTTTCACACACGAGCCCGCTTGTTTGTTATGAGCGATCACGCCCGTGACAGGCCCCGCCCATCCTCCCCTCCCTTCCCCCCTGGCCACGTCACGAGTCGCGCCGGCGCCGTCTGGGAATGAGCTACTCTCCAACACTCCCAAACGGCGCCGGCGCGACTCGCGACGTGACTGGCCACCTCCCCCCTCCACGCGCCCCCCCTGGTCACGCCACACCTCGCCAGGGGATAAAAAAAACGCTCTCCTGGTGGGTCGTCGGATGCTGGGGGGGAATGGGCTACCTTGAGATCTGGGCTTTGTCGCCGGGCTTCGCCATCACAGATCGACAAGGCTCGAAACACGCAGCAGAAATATGGTGTCCCGAGCTCTGGTCGGGATCTTGAACGGTGCTGCATTTGTCCGTGACGTCGGCTCTTAGTGGGAGACACGGCCTTCGAGGGCCTTCGCAGGCTTCCGAAGATCAGCGGCGCGCAAACATGGATCAGCGATCCAAGTGCAACATCGCGAAAAATCAACATCGGAGCTCCAAACCCCATCATTATGCTGCAATTGTCGAGCTGGATCAATCTGTGAGGGTCCCTGGGCACGAAACCCAGCCAGAACGCCTGGTTTGACAAAATGCAACCAAGTCTCAGGATCCGTCGTCGCTGTCGGCCTCGTCGTCGTTGCCGTTCTCGTCGTTCTCGTCGTCGTTGCCGCCGCAGCCGTCGCCTCCGTCGTCGTCGACGTGGTCGTGGTCGTGGTCGTGGTCGTGGTGGTGGTGGCGTCGTCGTCGTAATTTTGGTCGTCGTCGTTTTCGTCGTCGTCGTTTTCGTCGCCGGCGGCGTTCTCGTCGTCGTGTTCGTGGTCATCGTCGTCGTGCTAGTCATCGTTGTCATTGTTGTCGTTTCCGTCGTCGTCGGTTTCGTCTTCGTCGTCGTCGTGTCCGTCGTCGTCGTCGTCGACGTCATCGTCGTCGTCATCATCGTGGTCGTCGTGTTCGTTGTCGTCGTCGTTCTCCTCGTCATCGTCGTCTATTTCGTCGTCGTTTCCGTCCTCGTCGTCGCTCTCGTCGTCGTCACTGTTGTCGCCGTCGTCGTCGTCGTCTTGTTCGTCGTCATCGTCCTCGTCGTCATGCTCGTCCTCGTCGTCGTCATATTCGTCGTCGTCGTCGTTTTCGTCGTCGTCGTTTTCGTCGTCGTCGGAGTTTTCGTCGTGTTCGTGGTCGTCGTCGTCGTCGTGCTCGTCATCGTCGTCGTTTCTGTCATCGTCGTCGTCGGTTTCGTCGTCTTCGTCGTCGTCGTGTCCGTCGTCGTCGTCGTCGTCGACGTCATCGTCGTCGTCATCATCATCGTGGTCGTTGTGTTCGTCGTCGTCGTTCTCCTCGTCGTCGTCGTCTGATTCGTCGTCGTCGTTTCCGTCCTCGTCGTCGCTTACGTCGTCGTTGTTTTCGCCGTCGTCGTCGTCCTTTTCGTCGTCGTCGTCGTGCTCGTCCTTGTCGTCGTCATATTCGTCGTCGTCTTCGTTGTCGTCGATGTCTTTGTCGTCGTCGGTTTCGTCGTCGTTTTCGTCGTCGTCATCGTCGTTTTCGTCATCGTCGTTTTCGTCGTCGTCGTGTTCGTGGTCGTCGTCGTGCTCGTCGTCGTCGTAGTCGTTTTTGTCGTATTGGCCGTCGTCGTTTTCGTCGTCGACGCTTTCCTCGTCGTGGTCGTAGTTGTTTTCGTCGTGTTCGTCGTTTTCGTCATTGTCGTCTTTTTCGTGATCGTCGTCGTCTTTCTCGTCGTCGTCGTCGTTTTCATTGTCGTCGTCGTGCGTCGTCGTCGTCCTGCGTCGTCGTCGTCGTTCTCGTTTTCGTTTTCGGCGTCGTCGTCGTCGCCTCTAGCAGCGCGATGAGCTCCGGGAGGGTCGCGGGCGAGCCCACCACGGCGCGCACGGCATCGGGACACGCGTCGCACCACTCGGCCACCAGCCGCAGCGCCGCGCAGAGGGACGCGCCAGCGGAGGCGTGCTGGCCGGAGCGGTAGGCGCGCCCCAGGGGCGCGACCAGCCTGAGTTCGGGGCCCCAAACCCTGATTCTCCATCCTCCAAATCTTCCGACCAGCAGGTGGCTGATCTAGTGATTTTCTTGAGGGGCCAAAAAATTGCATAACAAGGTGGTCCGCCGCCGATTCAAGAAGTCCGCGCGGAGCTCCGAGAGTTTAGGTTGTTTGTCTCTCGAGAAAATCCATGAATTAGCCACTTGCTGGTCGAAGGCGTGGAAGGTCGAGAGTTAGGAAAACCGTGTGACCGACCGCTTCCGTGCCTCGGAATCCCCAACCCTGAGATCCTGGCGTCTCAGTTTTTTCGAATCGAGAGTATTCGCCCAGTTTCGGTTGCCCTGACAATCACGGATCGATCGGGCTCGCAAAATGGTGCGGAAAGGTGGGGTCCAGGGCTCTGGCCCAGCTTTTTCACCATTGTGTAAACTGTTCGCCACGTTGGATCTAAGGATGGACCTCACTGCGTGGTCCCTCACCGCACGGTCTTGGGACCTCGCAGGCACCAGTCGCCCGAGACGTCCGCGGAGAACGACCCGCGTCCCAAAGCCGTACGGTGACCCCGAACCCCCACTGGCTCACCACACGGTGTGGTCACCACACCCATGGGGGGCGCGACGAGCCTCCAAGATCGAGCCAAGATCCCCGGCGATGTGAGGTTCTCGATCCAGGCGGTACTCCCAGATTTGAGCATCCTGGGGCCCGCATGGGGCCCCCGGACCATCAAGAACGGATCTGGCCCTGGGGAAGGGGTGGGCACCTGGGGCCGCGCACTCGAGAAACAGGTCGGAAGATGTCTGGAAACCCTGAGATCTGGGCGCTGCAGCACTGCGGGCGTTTCCGCCCCGGTTCGCGCCCCAGCGCCATCACAGATCGACCCGGCTTGAGAAATGCCGCAGAAAGATGGGGTCCCGGGGCTCCAAGATTTCAAGACGTTGCAACTCTTTCATTGCGTCGGTGCGAAAAGCAATCCATGTTTTTTGTCGTGTTCGACCTTTGGGGGCCCTCGCCAGGCCCCAGGGCCGTCAAAAAATCACTGAGGACTGGCCCTGGGACGGGGACTGAGAAAAAACCACTGGCCCTGGGGCTGGGGCCGCCAAACAAATCACTCGGGGCCGTCAAAAAATCACTGGCCCCGGGACTCGGGACCTCCGGGGACCCCAGATTGAAAAAACCATACACCAGATCTCTGGGCTGAGGGCCTCATCGATCAAGGATCGAGGATATCGAGAACCCTCGAACTCGACCCTCGAGGTTCGAGGGCCGAGGTTTGTGTGCGGCTTCTTGACGCCGTGGATCCTTCAGAGGCCTTTCGGAGGCCTCCGGGGAGCTCGGGAGACCTCCTTGTCCCCCCCTCTCCTCCACTCCCTCCTCGTCCACCGCCTCTCAAGCCCCTTTCGATTCGTCCTCTTCGTCTTCTTCGTCCTCTTCCCCCCTCCTCCACCTCCTCCTCTACCTCAGCCTCCTTCTCCGCAACCTGTGCCTGAAGGCCTCCTCGATCATCGAGGGTCGAAGTGTTTGAACGCCCGTGGCCGCTCTTAGTCTCTGGAGGCCTCCTGGGAACTCCAGAGACCGCCTCCTCCTGTTCCTCCTCCTCCGACTTCTCCTTCTACTCCCTGCCTCCGATATCCTTCTCTCTCCTCCTCCTCCTCCTCCTCCTCCTCCTCCTCCTCCTCCTCCTCCTCCTCCTCCTCCTCCTCCTCCTCCTCCTCCTCCTCCTCCTCCTCCTCCTCCTCCTCCTCCTCCTCCTCCCTCCTCCTCCTCCTCCTCCTCCTCTCCTCCTCCTCCTCCTCCTCCTCCTCCTCCTCCTCCTCCTCCTCCTCCTCCTCCTCCTCCTCCTCCTCCCCTCCTCCTCCTCCTCCTCCTCCTCCTCCTCCTCCTCCTCCTCCTCCTCCTCTCAAGCACATGTGGCTCGAGGTTCATCCGTAGCTTTTGGCTTAGTGATGGGCCTCCAGCCGCGTCCAGTGCCTTCTCGTGGCGCTTGGGGGGCTCCGATTTCTGCCGCGGACTTCGTCTTGCAGCAGCCGTCGGATGGCGAGACTGGACAAACAGTTAGTATGGCCACGGTGGCGGTACACGGTGAGTGGCTCCTGTATTATTGGTCAGCCCTCGCTGGTGCTGGCTTGGGCACGTGCCGATCGGTGTCATTATGTTCATGTATGGCCTTGTTGGCAGGTTCTCAATTCAGTTCATTGGATACCGCAGTGTTTGCCTTGCTTGTAGATTTCCTATGAAGTATCAGTTATTTGCCGTGCCCATGGGATACCCACTGGGTTGTTACCCACAGGGTCTTACGGCACTTTTTGGTGTGGCAGTACGCTTGAGGAGGAGCTGTTTCTGGAGTGGGCGTGGCTACGGCTGTGCTGCGTAACTGTTCGTGCTCGAGGTTGGCGGCATCAGTTGGATTCCCCTGTTTCCTTCGTTTCAGCTGTTTCTTTGGTGTATTTGTCACTGCCATCAATTATAACATGGTCAGTTTCCCCGCTCGTCGTGCAGAGTGTCTCGATGAGCATGCAGGTATGGGACTTCAGCTGTCGGCGGTACTTCCTTTGGTCGGCTGGGGCGAGGTGGTTTGTGGGCGAGGCGAGCTCATCGATCGGTTTGGGTTAGCCCAGTGATCTACACTGTCGCCGTGTCGGCACAGCTAGGGCCTCATAGAGTCAGACTCGTGTCTGCGTTGCCACTGGCCATGTCATTGTGGAGTCGGTTCGGCATATTGGTTCCAAACCTTTTTTTCATATGGGGCAGGCTTGGCAATTTCTGTGGTATTGCTATTAAGGTCGTGTACGGGTCGGCTTCTGCGACTGGCAATATTCATTTGCTCCCTGCTGGCTCCTGCCCTTCGTCTTCTGGTTCGTCTACTTCAATTTCGAGCTCAGGGGGCGGCTTGTGTGTCATTACGGCTACCCCTTGGCAGAATCCCTAGAATCCTCCTCCTCCTCCTCCTCCTCCTCCTCCTCCTCCTCCTCTTGCTCCTCCTCCTCCTTCTCCTGCTCCTCCTCATCCTCCTCCTGCTCCTCCTCCTCCTCCTCCCCTTCCTTCTTCTCATCCTCCTCCTCCTCCTGCTCCTCCTCCTCCTGATCCTCCTCCTCCTCCTCATCCTCATCCTCCTCCTCATCCTGCTCCTCTTCCTCCTCCTCCTCATCCTCCTCCTCCTCCTGCTTCTCCTCCTCCGCTTGTTCTCCCTCATCCTCCCTCTTCCCGCCTCCCCCTCGCCCCCCCTCCTCCTTCCCCTCTTCCTCCTGCTATTCCTGCTCCTGCTCCTCCTTCGCCTCCTGCTCCTCCCTCCTCCTCCTCCTCCTCCTCCTCCTCCTCTTCATCCTCATCCTCGTCCTCGTCCTCCTCCTCCTCCTCCTGCTCCTCCTCCTCATCCTCCTCCTGATCCCCCTC